ACCCAGTGCACCAGATATTAGAACCCAGACATTAGAACTCAGATATTAGAACCCAGTGAACCCAGACATTAGAATCCAGATAATAGAACCCAGACATTAGAACCCAGATATTAGAACCCAGATATTAGAACCCAGATATTAGAACCTAGATATTAGATCCCAGATATTAGAACCCAGATATGAGAACCCAGATATGAGAACCCAGTGAACCCAGACCTTAGAACCCAGACATTAGAACCCAGTGCACCAGATATTAGAACCCAGCCATTAGAACCCACACATTAGAACCCAGTGAACCCAGACATTAGATCCCAGATATTAGAACCCATTGAACCCAGATATTAGAACCCAGACATTAGAACCCAGATATTAGAACCGAGTGAACCCAGAAATAAAACCCAAACATTAGAACCCAGACATTAGAACCCAGTGAACCCAGACATTAGAACCCAGTGAACCCAGATATTAGAACCCAGATATTAGATCCCAGATATTAGAACCCAGACATTAGAACCCGAATATTAGAACCCAGTGAGCCCAGATATTAGAACCCAGATATTAGAACCCAGACATTAGAACCTAGAGAACCCAGAAATTAGAACCCAAACATTAGAACCCAGTGAACCCAGATATTAAAACCCAGACATTAGAACCCAGATATTAGAACCCAGTGAACCCAGACATTAGAACCCAGACATTAGAACCCAGATATTAGAACCCAGTGAACCCAGATATTAGAACACAGACATTAGAACCCAGATATTAGAACCCAGTGAACCCAGAAATTACAACCCAGACATTAGAACCCAGTGCACCAGATATTAGAACCCAGACATTAGAACTCAGATATTAGAACCCAGTGAACCCAGACCTTAGAACCCAGACATTAGAACCCAGTGCACCAGATATTAGAACCCAGCCATTAGAACCCAGACATTAGAACCCAGTGAACCCAGACATTAGATCCCAGATATTAGAACCCATTGAACCCAGATAGTAGAACCCAGACATTAGAACCCAGATTTTAGAACCGAGTGAACCCAGAAATAAAACCCAAACATTAGAACCCAGACATTAGAACCCAGTGAACCCAGACATTAGAACCCAGATATTAGAACGCAGATATTAGATCCCAGATATTAGAACCCAGACATTAGAACCCAAATATTAGAACCCAGTGAGCCCAGATATTAGAACCCAGATATTAGAACCCAGACATTAGAACCTAGAGAACCCAGACATTAGAACCCAGACATTAGAACCCAGTGAACCCAGATATTAAAACCCAGACATTAGAACCCAGATATTAGAACCCAGTGAACCCAGATATTAGAACCCAGACATTAGAACCCAGATATTAGAACCCAGTGAACCCAGAAATTACAACCCAGACATTAGAACCCAGTGAACTCAGACATTAGAACCCAGTGAATCCAGATATTAGAACCCAGATATTAGAACCCAGATATTAGATCCCAGATATTACTACCCAGATATTAGATCCCAGATATTAGAACCCAGATATTAGAACCCAGATATGAGAACCCAGTAAACCCAGACCTTAGAACCCAGACATTAGAACCCAGTGCACCAGATATTAGAACCCAGACATTAGAACTCAGATATTAGAACCCAGTGAACCCAGACATTAGAATCCAGATAATAGAACCCAGACATTAGAACCCAGATATTAGAACCCAGATATTAGAACCCAGATATTAGAACCTAGATATTAGATCCCAGATATTAGAACCCAGATATGAGAACCCAGATATGAGAACCCAGTGAACCCAGACCTTAGAACCCAGACATTAGAACCCAGTGCACCAGATATTAGAACCCAGCCATTAGAACCCAGACATTAGAACCCAGTGAACCCAGACATTAGATCCCAGATATTAGAACCCATTGAACCCAGATATTAGAACCCAGACATTAGAACCCAGATATTAGAACCGAGTGAACCCAGAAATAAAACCCAAACATTAGAACCCAGACATTAGAACCCAGTGAACCCAGACATTAGAACCCAGTGAACCCAGATATTAGAACCCAGATATTAGATCCCAGATATTAGAACCCAGACATTAGAACCCGAATATTAGAACCCAGTGAGCCCAGATATTAGAACCCAGATATTAGAACCCAGACATTAGAACCTAGAGAACCCAGAAATTAGAACCCAAACATTAGAACCCAGTGAACCCAGATATTAAAACCCAGACATTAGAACCCAGATATTAGAACCCAGTGAACCCAGACATTAGAACCCAGACATTAGAACCCAGATATTAGAACCCAGTGAACCCAGACATTAGAACCCAGTGAACCCAGATATTAGAACCCAGATATTAGAACCCAGATATTAGATCCCAGATATTGCAACCCAGATATTAGATCCCAGATATTAGAACCCAGATATGAGAACCCAGATATTAGAACCCAGTGAACCCAGACCTTAGAACCCAGACATTAGAACCCAGTGCACCAGATATTAGAACCCAGACATTAGAACTCAGATATTAGAACCCAGACATTAGAATCCAGATAATAGAACCCAGACATTAGAACCCAGATTTTAGAACCCAGATATTAGAACCCAGATATTAGATCCTATTGGCCAGAGTTCGTCCACGTTGTTCCACTCTGTTCGCTAAGCGGCGTTCTTCCGACTCCAGGATAAGATTATTGGATGGGGGCAGCAGCAGCATCGCAGCCGCAGAAGCCGGGGGGGGGCTTGAGGCCTTGGCGAGGGACATTGCCCAGATCGTTGTTGATCGGTCCGTCGGGGTTCGTTGAGTCTCTGACGGACCGAGGCTCGCCGGCTTTTGGTCACGGGTGGGAGCAGAGGAGAGCCTGGAGGTCACGCGGTGGCGGCGATGGCGAGATTCGGTGGCGGTGTCAAGGGCACTTGGCCGTGGCGACCCCCCTCGATACTCGCCCATCACCACCACGGGTGGAAGGTTGGGGGGCACGGGTTTGGGGGGCACGACATTTACGCCCATAGTACCATGCCTGTCAATCCCCTTATCAGTGTCTACCTTATTGTAGACCAATTCAGACCTCAATGATCACCCCGTGCCCCTTATAAATCGGAGACGTTCATCCTACCAAGTCCGATCACAAGGGAGAAACACAAACAGGCATTTTTTTAAAACGGCTGTACGCGGTATGGACCTGAAAACTCAATTTCCCTGGACGAGAATACAGGTAAACCGTATGGGTTGACAGGTTTGCAGAACTCACCTCCCGCCCGTAGTACTTTTGTGCACGTGAAACGCACTGCTTGATGGTACCGTGCTTGGTGACCCAACCGAGCACTTGGATTTCGCACCTCCAATTCCCACGGTTGGCTACGTACGGTGCAAAAGAAGTTCAACATACGCACCGTGCATACCGGCCAGCGCAGAGCACGTCCACGTTCGAGTTAATTCGCAGCCCTTTTTCAATCCACTGCTGAAGGAAGGCCTCTTCTCCACCATGTCAGACATGGCGGGGGGGGGGGGGGGTTGTTTTGACCATACTTCACCGCGCTCGTCGGTGCAGGTTGGTGAAGCCAGGGCCGGTTCTGATATCGCCTTCGGTCGATTTGAGCTGGTGGCTAAGTTATCATTCAGTGGCTAAGTTTGAATTCGGTGGCTAAGTTTGAATTCAGTGGCTGAGTTTGAATTCGGTGGCTAAGTTATCATTCAGTAGCTAAGTTTGAATTCAGTGGCTAAGTTTGAATTCAGTGGCTGAGTTTGAATTTCGGTGGCTAAGTTTTGAATTCGGTGGCTAAGTTTGAATTCGGTGGCTAAGTTTGAATTTCACTGGCTGAGTTTGAATTCGGTGGCTAAGTTTGAATTCGGTGGCTAAGTTTGAATTTCGGTGGCTAAGTTTGAATTCGGTGGCTGAGTTTGAATTCGGTGGCGTAGTTTGAATTCGGTGGCTGAGTTTGAATTCGTGGCTACGTTTGAATTCGGTGGCTAACTTTGAATTCGGTGGCTATATTTTAATTCGGTGGCTAAGTCTTAATTTGGTAGCTAAGTTTGAATTCGGTGGCTGAGTTTGAATTCAGTGGCTAAGTTTGAATTTCGGTGGCTACCGAAATTCAAACTAAGTTTGAATTCGGTGGCTAACTTTGAATTCGGTGGCTAAATTTGAATTCAGTGGCTAAGTATGAATTCAGTGGCTAAGTTTGAATTCACTGGCTAAGTTTGAATTTCGGTGGCTATGTTTGAATTCGGTGGCTAAGTTTGAATTCGGTGGCTAAGTTTGAATTCGGTGGCTAACTTTGAATTCGGTGGCTAAGTTTGAATTCGGTGGCTAACTTTGAATTCAGTGGCTAAGTATGAATTCAGTGGCTAAGTTTGAATTCACTGGCTAAGTTTGAATTTCGATGGCTATGTTTGAATTCGGTGGCTAAGTTTGAATTCGGTGGCTAAGTTTGAATTCGGTGGCTAAGTTTGAATTCGGTGGCGAAGTTTGAATTCAGTGGCTAACTTTGAATTCGGTGGCTAAGTTTGAATTCGGTGGCTAACTTTGAATTCGGTGGCTGAGTTTGAATCGGTGGCTAAGTTTGAATTCGGTGGCTAAGTTTGAATTTGGTGGCTAACTTTGAATTCGGTGGCTAACTTTGAATTCGGTGGCTAACTTTGAATTCGGTGGCTAAGTTTGAATTCGGTGGCTGAGTTTGAATCGGTGGCTAAGTTTTGAATTCGGTGGCTACGTTTGAATTCGATTGCTAAATTTGAATTCGGTGGCTAAGTTTGAATTCAGTGGCTACGTTTGAATTCGGTGCCTACGTTTGAATTCGGCTTTCCAGATCCACTGCGCTAACCACATTCTCCTTACTATCGCCACGTAAATTATAACTTAACCCCCCCCCCCCCCCCCCCAACAATCCACAACACAATGCGGAGATATCATTCCTGAGCTGACAAGGCAAATTAGTAGCGGCCGGACAAACCGGGTGAGTGGGTTTGTCGATGTGTGAGATAAGGAGGAGGCTTATATTTCATATCACCTGCTTCACAAGCCTCATTCGCATTTTGTCAACCCCGCGGACCCCTCACGGACCCCAGGAATCTCCCATCGAGTCGTCTCCGTGACTCCGATCTCGGCGGGACCAGGCATGGGAATCAGCGTGAACCCGTGCGCTCTGACCGTTATCCTTATCCTCATATTGTTCTCCGTCGCCTGGACTTTGGCTGATGGTAAGCAATTAAAATATTCATTGCAATGTTTATCATTACTCTGATGTTAACCATAGAAAATGGCAATGTTTGTTGATAGTAACAAAATGTAACCCGCTCATCCACAAAGCCTCGATGAGTCTCGAGATTTTCCTTTCGAAGGGCCCTGCTAACAATTGCAACGTGTGGCCGTGAATTCAACGCATGGGGGGAGTTCAGCTTCCCGTGGGAGGGAGCGGAGGGGCGAGGATGCGGGGGGGGGGGGCTCTGATATGGGGGCCACGGCGCTCGACTCGCGGTCGCAGAGTCACGAACTCAAATTTCGCGGCCGTGGATTGATCGTAAATCACGACGATCGATCGTTGCGCAAACACACCCGGCCGAAGGGTTCACTCAGAGCATCGTCGTCATGAATAATCATCATCTCGAGAATAACAAAAGCGTAGAATGTAATGTATAACATTGCATGTAATAATCTTGATTTGAAGCTTTCGTGACTGCAGGAATTCAGTCTCTTTGGTTCTTTCGGTAAAGTCACGTAGGTATAAAATATAATAGATCACGTGACGTTTCGATGGCAACACAAGCGACCGTCATCAGGTGTGACGAAACACAGCAGGAGAACTGCTGACGCATTTCGTCTCACCTGACAACGGTTGCTTGTGTTGCGATCGAAACGTCGTCATCTGTCAATTTATCTCTCCGTGACTTTACCGAAAGAAGCAAAGAGTATTGCTTGTAGTAATTTACATTTATCCGTACGGCGCCTTCCACGAACGTCTCAAGGCGCCTTGTAAGGATCACGATAGGGCCAGGGGAGATGGAAATGCTAGAGCAGGGGTGGGAAACGTCCGGCCCGCGGGCCGTGTAAGGCACCGCGAAATTATTTGGGTCTCTGGCCCTGCCAAGGCAACCGCAGGCGGGACTCGAAATTCAATAAATCTAGGAGCAAACCTGGAAAAGCAGTTGCGAGTAGTAGCAACATCATCAATACCAGCTAACATCATCACACACCTCGCCAAAGAGAAGCAGTTCCAGCCATCGCATTAGGGGTGAGTTCATAAAATGTTTGACCAAATATAACAGGCTAATTTTTAAGTTGATAATTTTGTATGACCCGCGAATGATGTTATATAAATATCCAAATGGCCCTTGGCAGAAAAAAGGTTCCCCACCCCTGTGCTAAAGAGAGTGAACTGACTGAAGAGAATGTGTTTGTGTTTGAATACGAGACTCAAACGTATCCACATTATCAACTAAACGAATGTACAACGGTAGCGAACGCTGCTGCTGCGTTGGCTGTGGTGCGCGAACAACAACAAACAACAATAAACAACAACAAACAACAACAGTAAACACTCAACACGTTCGTCAAGAACACTGCCACGGAATAATAAAAACAAACGGTGCGACAGGCGGCGCGTTGGGCAATGTCTCTTCTTAGCACGAAACTACCTGTGCTGGAGGTGCAGTGAAGAAGGTCCATCTCCCGAAACGTCGTCTATTGTACATTTTCTTTTAAAGCCGCCCAGTGTTATTGTCGAATGTGTTGAGTTGTTTTTGTTGTTGTTGTTGTATCATCTCAACGTGGTCGATAAAACGAGTACCAACTTTGTGGTGGGTCAACGGGAGTCGTCTGGTAAATCTATCCAAAGGGTGAAGGAGGAGGGCATTGGATTGGCACCCAGAGGCTGGCGACCAGGGGCGTGGTGATAGCGGTGGTGATGATGATGAGAGAGAGAGAGAGGTCCTTGTGAGATCGGGTGGATTATGGTCGGGGGCAGGAAGAGATGTCGAGGTGTGTGCCGCCATCACCCGTGACCTCGACGATGACCTTTGGCCCGCGCTAGGGCGACGGACACCTGCAACCTCGGCCCGTGTAAGCACGCAGCCGCATGAATGTGGCGGCGACGATGCCGTCGTTGAGTCCACGACGGGACGAGGCTCTGATAACCGTGCCGCGATTCGACCTCTGCAGGAGCGGGCATGCACCAGCGACCGTGCCACTGCGTGAAGCTCCTCTCCGCCGAGTACACGGCTCGCCTTCGGGGCGGCCACCTCTCCTGCATCTACCCGGCACGGCGAAGCCACGGCTGCCCGAGCGCCGTCGTGTGAGTGGCCCGGGCACGCGGAGTTAAACAACAACAACGACAACAACGACAACAACAACGGGGTGGCGGGCAGGGGCGGTGTGGAACTAATGACGACCCTTAATGGGTGCTCGCTAACAGCGCCGCACTCCCCCCCCCCCCCCACCCCACCAAAACCGGTTCGGAACAAAACAAGAGATGGCTTTTATTTCGGTATCGGTGTGAATCTGGTGAACCGATGGCTTTGTTGAGTAATGTGATGCCGCTCTGATCTGCACCCGGCACAGTGCCCGTATGAATGAAAAAAAAGGCACCCCATGATCGTTTCTGCTGCCCGACAAAGGCTCGTGATTTATGTGCTCTGATGAAGGGGACACGCTATCTACGACGTGAAATCGGTCAGGGTGATTGATGGTGCAGTACTCACTGATTCGCTCCTGACACTCACTCACTCACTGGAGGGCAGTCGCCTTCTTATCACTCTTCTGCCGCTACTTCCACGGCGACTGTTGCCCTGAACGTCACTCGCTGGGGCTCTTCCAGCCGTGTTGAGGACTCGGTCTCTACCAGACACCGACTGTCTTGTCTCAACCACATTGGGTCCAACCATCACACTGCAGGTCACAACAACACACTCGCTCACCCGCTAACTAACCCGCTCACCCATCCGCTCACCCGCTCACCACCACTGCCGGTCACAACAACAAATTCGCTCACCCGCTAACTTTAACCCGCTCACCCATCCGCTCACCCATCCGCTCACCCACCCACTCACCCGCCCACCCACCCACTCACCCGCCCACCCACTCACCCGCTCACCACTACTGCAGGTCGCAACGCTTCTGTCTGCTTCTTCCCTACGCACTGTGGAATTCCCTCTCCTGCCATCGTCTCGTTTCCCAGCTCTCCCGATAACCCCGCGCAATCGAAGACATCTGTCAAGGCTCATCGACTACAACTTTACCGTCATGATCATAATGCTGTTTGCCTGTTGGGAATGTGCTCAGCAACTGTGTGAAGTGCTTAGTATTATTATGATGATTATGATGTCATTAACGAATGCGTTGGATGTTGTGTTGTGTTGTTGTTTTAGTGCCAAACTGCACCAAGGATTGTCTGTGTGCTTGAGCCTCAAAGAGAAGAGGGTCCGGCGATGGATCGCAGTGTCCGAGTGGTGAGTCGGAGGCTACGCGGAGGGTCCCCGCGAGATGAATCCGCAAGTTCGGTGTGTGTGTTCGTGTGTGCGTGTGTGTGTGTTCGTGTGTGTGTGTGCGTGTGTTTGCGTGTGTGCGTGTGTGTGTGCGCGCGTCTGCGTGCGCGTGTGCGGGCGCGCGTGCGCGTGTGTGCGTGTGTGTTGACTTTCTTTCGCGCCGTACGTGGCCAAGCGTGCTAATCGGAGGTGCGGTGGAGGGGGGTGGGGACGTCAAGCGAAGCAAGCGCAGCAGCAGCGTGGCGCAGAGCGCAAGAGGCGAGCGTCGCGAGGGAGAAGCGCCGCATGCGCGTCTCGGACTCGGTCTGCAGCGATGTTGCTGTTTGGTGTTAAGTGAAGTTTAAAAAAACTCAGATTCGGCTAAATGTGGTTCGTGACGATTCGCATCGTGCGGGTATCGGTGAGCTGCTCCGAGACCACCAAACTCACCACACACCTGGAGAACCCCAATTTCATCGCAACGCAATCACATCCGAAGCGACGGCTTTCTCTCTCTCTCTCTCCACTCTCTCTCTCTCTCCGTGGATCTCAAACATTCTCCTGCGTCTGTACATTCGAGCTCTCTGCGACGCGACGTCGGTCCGCTCCGCCCGAGGACGCAGTTCCATCACAAGCAGCAAGGGGCTCGAACCCGGATTCGAACCAGGACGTCAGCGGTGCTCGGCTCCAGGGTCTCCCACACGTCCATCATGTGACCCCCCCTCCCCCCTCGAACCACACGGATACGTTGCGGAGGGCAGTTTGAGTTGTTGTTGTTGTGAATCGCTGTCGGTGCAGTCTCTCATTGTATTTGGCAGTGAAACATGAGCATAGGAACATTCCTTCCCGCTAGGGCAGGTCTCCTGCAAAGACATGCACGTGTGTCCTTGTGTCTGTACGGTGTGTGTGTGTACTGGTGTATGTGTACGTGTATGTTCGGGTGTGTGTTCGTGTGTGTACGGTGTGTGCACGTGTGTGTGTGCACGTGTGTGTGTGCACGTGTGTGTGTGTGTGTGTACGAGTGTGTGCGGGTGTGTGTACGTGTGTGTACGGTGTGTGTGCACGTATGTGTGTGCACGTGTGTGTGTGTGCACGTGTGTGTGTGTGCACGTGTGTGTGTACGTGTGTGTGCACGTGTGTGTGTGCACGTGTGTGTGTGTAAGTGTATGTTCGGGTGTGTGTACGTGTATGTTCGGGTGTGTGTACGTGTGTGTACGGTGTGTGTGCACGTGTGTGTGTGCACGTGTGTCTTTGTGTGTGTATGCGTGCGTGCGGGTGTGTGTGTGCACGTGTGTGTGTGTGTGCACGTGTGTGTGTACGTGTATGGGGAGCGGTAGTGTAGCGGTTAGCGCGCTGCGCGACAAACCTCGTGACCCGGGTTCGATTCCCGCTCATGGCCAACATCAGTGACGATTATCTGAACCGGTCCTGGGCCTCCCCTAGGTCGTCTCAGCCTTAAATGAGTACCTGGTGCGATGTGTAAACATCGCCACTGGGGAGACAAAGGCGGCCGGGCGTGGTGTTGGCCACCCACCCCCTCGTGTGCCGTGCCGCCTTCATAGATGCTCGCTAACAGTACTTGCCCCTACAGTCTGTTAAGGCTACACGGGGGATCTTTGTCTACTTGCCAAGTTCCCTCTGCGTGTGTGTTTATGAGTGTAGGCAGTTGTTTTTGTTTGCCGTGTATGTTTGTGCGCGTTGATGGTTGTGTTTGTTCGCTACGGGGATGGGTGGCGCAGTGGTTAGCGCACTGCCCTACGAACTCGCCGACCCGAATTCGACTCCCGACAAATCTACTCCTGGGTCTCCCCGAAGTTAAATACGCAATAAAAATATATATATAACACATCCACACAGACACAGACATCAATCTCTCATGAATCCGAGCAGCGATACAGCCACGGGCGCTTCTGACTGACACCGGCCTCCGTGCGCCGCATTGGATAGGGCGGCAGGCGAGTGAGCGAACGCGTCCCAACACGTTCAGTCGCCAGGCGGCCACACCAGCGATCGATGGCTGTGTCCTTTGCTGCGTTGTGCGCGATCAGCAGCGGTCACGGCAAGAGGAGCGTGCGTGGGAGGAGGCGAATCCACTGCTGCCACTAGCGGCCGACCCCCCTCTCGCCCGCCGACGGCCGAGGAGGACCCCGGGAAGGAGCAAGACGACACAAAACTACACAAGACGACACAAAACTACACAAGACTACACAAGACGAGACAAAACTACACAAGACGACACAGGACGACACAAGACTACACAATAATACACAAGACTACACAAGACGACACAATACTACACAATAATACACAAGACTACACAAGACGACACAATAATACACAAGACGACACAAGACGACACAATAATACACAAGACGACACAAGACGACACAAGACGACACAAGGCTCGCCCCTGCGACGCGTTGTCCAACAGAACGCGCGCTGCCCCTTTGATTGGTGACAAATTCACCGGTTTTTTAATTCAGTCCCAAGCGGCACTGTTGGCGTCTGTGCGGCAGCAGGTTTGCTGGCTGCTTTAGGCCCGATTCACGCGTATTTGCTTCACGGCCTGAGCAGGGCTGCGATTTTGAATTACCGGGTGCCTTTTTGGAGTGCAACCACGCGTGGACACATGTCAGCCCACCGCAAGCAGCACCTGCGGAGCTAGGAGTGGCCGAGTGTGAGTGTGTGTGTGTTGAGCTTAGTTCGCACCCTACGTAGACCACCGTGCTAATCGGAGTGTGCGGGGGAAGGACAACGCACTGAACACTAAAAGCTGTTATTTTGATTGCGCTAACATCAGACTTAAAGCGTTGCCATGTTTCATTGAAACTATTCGTTGCTGGCCATGTGGCGTTTTGAACATTTAAGCCTGTGCTTAGCAACCTTGAGAGATTAAAAAACAACTCTAGTACCCGATTAGTGTGGTGAAGGATAAATGTTGGTGGTCATGGGCCACTTCAAGTGGTAGGGCCTCATGTGGCCCGGGGCGAGTGAAGTGAATTCATCATGGGCGAATCTGACCCACGGGACGCAGGTTCCTCCCCTTGGAGAGGAGCAAGCCATGCCTGCAGCCGTGCCGAGCCAGCCTAGCACAGCTCGGTAGGTGCGAGGTTGTTTTCCATTGCAGAACCCGAGTTATGCCGCTGACGTCAGACGCAATGAACGAGTGCGTCATTAACCCCATTCCTGGCCCTGCTTGGCTCCGAGACAGATTCAGATGTCTTGTCAGGCAAGCTTATCACGGTTCGGTTCAAATTCAGCTTGGCAAATAGTGGAAACCACCTGTACCATGACAGCCCCTTGATGACTCGGCTCAGATGTGCCATTGGAAAAGACGTATGCGTGCATGATTGGGGCCCTTTTGTTGTGTTTTGTAAACTCTCGGTTGTCAGGAATTTGGCCACCTGACTGATTGTGGTGCCGGGTGGTGGCAACTGTAGACAACCACAAGTTGTGTAACGATTATTATCCTCTTGTTTCATGAATGTCGAGATCAACACGTGGGTTTTTTCACATCAAGTACGACGATTCATAACTGGTTTATGGATTTGGGCAGATCAATATCCGGCTGAATTCTGTTGCAAGACTCCTACGCGAAACAAACGAAACGGTCAAGTGTCAAAGCGATGAACAATTCGCACATTATGGAAACCTCCGTGTTTTGAGTCGCACGATTTATCTTAAAGTGAATCCGCTGAATTTACTTACCTTTTTTTACAGCGTTAATAAATAAATAAATATATCTGAATAATCTTCTGGTGTATAAATGGGGCATGTCTGTGCTTTGGTGCCGTATAGAATAAGTCGCCTGCGCTGTTTTCCCGTGAAATAAAACTGCTCTCGGTTACCCCCTTCCCCTCGTCGATCGATGTCACTCGCCAGGTTCATAGCGCAGCGCGCTAACCGCTACACTACCCACACACATCAACCCACACACACATCGACCAACACACACATCAAACCCACACACACATCGACCAACATACCAAACCCACACACACATCGACCAACACACACACAAACCCACACACATCAACCCACACACACATCGACCAACACACACACCAACCCACACACACATCAACCCACACATACACCAACCCACACACATCGACCAACACACACATCAAACCCACACACACATCGACCAACATACCAAACCCACACACGCACACCCAAATCCACAAACACACACACATACCAACCCACACACATCAACCCACACACACATCGACCAACACACACCAAACCCACACACGCACACCCCAATCCACAAACACACACGTATTGAAACTGCCCAAGTAATTAAAACGATCAAAATACTGTACATTGCGGGAGTAACTGATCAACTAGCCAGATGGTTGGAAAAACAAAACACCCGTCTCAGATTTGGCACGGTACATAAAATACAGAAATTATTATCTGATACAAAATATGTATTACCGAAGCTATAAACAGAAGGTGAGTACAGGATTAACTGCACTTGTGGCAAATATTATGTTGGACAAACAGGACGAATGATCAGCACGAGACTAAAAGAACACCAAGGAAATATTAAATTCTCCCAAATACAACTGTCAGCAGTGGCAGAACACGCGTGCCAACAAGGACACTCAATTGATCTTGATAATGTTGAAGTTCTGTGCAAAACTAGCTACTACTGGCCAAGACGAATTAGATAATATATAGAAATTGAAAGAAAAATCATTTTAACCCTTCGGATAGCTACCGACTTAGAAGGGAATCATCAAATACTACATTGTTTAAATGCATACCTATACAGGCCACCATATTTCAATAGGGATTACCGTTGCTACGACTGTTTTAATCCACATGTAGGGGTGTTGTGGGAAGGAAACACACAGTGTGGGAAGGTGACACACAGCCACACCTTGGTGGCTACAACCACGTCCGCTATAGCCCTATAGCCCCGCCCACAGTGGTGTAGGGGTATAAAGGTCGGGGGAGCCAGAGAGCTCGGGGCAGTGTGTTGGGGCCAAGAATGAAGAACCAGTGAAGATGGAAGGCCGGCTAGGATAGACCCTGGGACTTCCCTGACCGCTGTCCTTGTGAGGGCCGGCAGGGTAAGCCGGTGGTGCGGCCCCAGAGCCTCAGAGCCGGAGCCCTTTTAAGGGTCGGTCTGGTTGGTGGGGTGCCGTGATCTGTGCTTGACCAGGGCCAGATCAGACAGCCTCCTCTAGCGCCTGTAGCGGAGGAACTGGGAGCACAGGAATTAGGCTAGATAGCCTAGGGGGTGTTCCAGAGTGTATACGGGTCAAGGGGCCGTTACCCCTTCCAGTGTAACCCCTGTTAAGTTGAATAAACAGTGCTGCCTCTACTCCACTGTCTCCGTGTCCCGTGAACCCACTACACACACAATGGACAGGAAGGACAAGTTCAATGGGCACCGCATAATGCGCATGCATCATGTACGTTGACTCAAGAGAGCAGGAGTTTGGTCACCACATCTACGATAAAAGGAATGAAACGGGTAGATTTCTCCGCAAATCTGGCTGTCGCCTGATGAAGCTAGTTGTAATTACTGGCGAAACGTCGTACTTAGATTGTAAATGTTGTGGCTTGGCTCTCCAACACAGCGGGTAGTGCTGTACTAGTGACGAATTGGCCACATTCTATTTACGTGATAACCCTTACTAGTTGGCTGTGTCGGGTGGGGGCGGGTTGTAACGACACATTTATACATGTACACAATCTAACACCACAAAAAACCTCTACTATGAACCCACACATCTCAACCTACACTCATCAACCCACACACATCAACCCACACACATCAACCCACACACATCAACCCACACACATCAACCCACACACATCAACCCACACACATCAACCCACACACATCAACCCACACACATCAACCCACACATACGACTCCTAGGTGGGCATGCCCTCTGGCCCCGGTAAGCAAGACAGGGCAGGTTTGAGGCAGACTATTTTTAGGGCACCTTTTTAAGCCACTTCCCAACTGCGGCGGCGGTGGGGAAGGGGGTGGTGGTGGCGGTGCTGGTGGTGCTGGTGGTGGTGGTGGTGGGCGTGGTGGTGGGGGTGGTGGTGGTGCTGGTGGTGAGGGTGGTGGTGGTGGTGGGGGTGGTGGTGGTGGTGGTGCTGGTGGTGGTGCTGGTGGTGGTGCTGGTGGTAGGGGTGGTGGTGGGGGTGGTGGTGGTGGTGCTGGTGGTGGGGGTGGTGATGGCGGTGGTGGTGCTGGTGGTGGTGCTGGTGGTGGGGGTGCTGGTGGTGCTGGTGGTGAGGGTGGTGGTGGTGGTGGGGGTGGGGGTGGTGGTGGTGGTGGTGGTGGTGCTGGTGCTGGTGGTAGGGGTGGTGGTGGTGGGGGGGGGTGGTGGTGGTGGTGGTGTGAGCAGAGTTGGATCCCAAAGAGGACTGCTCAGACACAGCTACAGCCCACCACGCCAGCTCGTCACTCAAAGAGCTTCCAGCCGCAGAAGCCGAGGACTTTCGTCGGGGTGCGTGGGAGGAGGTGAAGTCCACTGAAGGACGCCCGCGCGCGAGCAGATTTGATGTGAGGACAGCCGCTGCTGGGCGCCAGTTTCCCCCGCACGACGCTGAATGAGGCGGGGACCTGGACATGTGCAGTGACATAGACTCGGTCAGTTAGCAGCAGAGCGCCGGCTGCTGGCAGGGGAGGGGATCTGCAGCTACAGCAGCCCTGACGACTTTCCCACACACACACCACCCTCCACACACACACACCACCACCCACACACACACCACCACCCACACACACACCCCACACACACACCATCCCACACACACACACCACCCCCCTACACACACCACCCCTACACACACACCACCACCCACACACACCACCCACACCCACCCCCCCCCACACACACCACCCCCACACACACACCACCCCACACACACACACCACCCCACACACACACCACCCCCACACACACACCACCCCCCACACACACCACCACCCACACACACCACCACCCACACACACACCACCACCCACACACACACACCACCACCCACACACACAAACCACCACCCACACACATACCACCCCACACACACCACCCCACACACACCACCCCCCCCACACACACACACCACCACCCCCATACACACACCACTACCCACACACACACAACAACAACCGTCATTCGCCACTAAGTGGCGGTGACGTCACCACGACGCTTGTGCCAGGCTATGTGCACCCTGAGGCCACGTGAAGTGTCGAACTCCCGCTGGCAGGAGGTCACGGGGCAGACCCAGGTGCCACGGGTCGACTGACTGAGATGACTGGCTGATGCACCACCTGTGCTCCCTACTGTGCCAACCTGCTGTGCTTTAGAGACAAGGCGCTCCGCTCGTTGTTCTGAGCGTCGCTCCTCCGCCCTCCGTTGTTGTTGGAGGGCGACTGCCTCCAACTGCCCAGTAGCATCCTTCACGAGCCGCCTCCACAGAGGCCGATCTTGACACCGCTGGTACCAGTCATCGGCAAGTCCACTCAGCTCCACGTCCTCCTGTACCACATCACTCCATCTCTTCTCTAGCCCGTGCCGCGCCCGCTTAGCCCCCTCAATCCGGCCGAACAAAAGCTGTTTCGGCATGCGGTGGGTGGGCATGCGGGCTACATGACCCAGCCATCGCAGCCTTGCCCGCCGGAGGAGCTCACCGATGGGACCTTGCCCAGATCTTTCAAGGATTTGTCAGCTCCTCACACAATCCAGTCTGGTTAAACCCAGGATGGATCGTAGGCAGGCCAGCCTAAATGTTTCTAACCGGCGAAGATGTTCCATTAGGGGGGTCCACGTTTCGCAAGCGTAGAGAAGGGAGGGAATGACCGTGGCCGAGAAGACCTGAAGCTTAGTGCGGAGCGACAGGCCAGGTAGCTTCCACACACACACACCACCACCCACACACACACACCACCACCCACACATACACACCACCACCCACACACACACCACCCCACACACACACACACCACCCCACACACACCACCCCACACACACACACCACCACCCACACACACACCACCCCACACACACACCACCACCCACACACACCACCACCCACACACACACCCCACCCCACACACACACACCACCCCACACACACACACACACCACCACACACACACACCACCACACACACACACCACCACCCACACACACACACACCACCCCCCACACACACACCACCCCCCACACACTCGGGGTGAGATGGTATCACACGACCCCCACCCCCGTGTCCCAGGCCCACACCGTGCGAACTTGGCTCCTGGCCATAACTGAATTGCCACGAATTCTTTTGTCGCTTCACATTCTTCGAACTCGGTAAGGGCGACGCCTAACCAACAATTGTCGGGTTTTCTCACTCTCTTTAAAAAACAATAATCTCTCTCTCGCGATAAGCAAACTCTGAGCGGGCCTTCAGAATTCCCTGCCATCGCCTCGTCTCCAAAGTTATTCGTCTGATCCGGAAACGTGTGGACGTCTCAATTCGGGGCAAATCGCCCGCACGCGGACGCCGCTTGCCCGGACGGGCAGGGCAACCCTAAAGCTCGGCGAATGATCGCGAAGAGCTTCCTCCTCTGTCCACACTGCGTGGTGGTGGTGGTTGGGGGGGGGGGGACGCGTTCGTTGTCACGATGCCTCTGAGACGAGCGATTATCACCCGCGACTGGCGAGTCCTAAGTCGAGCGGGGTCGAGGATAAGGCTAAGTGGTCATGGTGAGCACAGAGTGTGGTGGGTGGGTGAGTGGGGTGGGTGGGGTTGGTGAGTGGGGTGGGTGAGTGGGGTGGGTGGGGTTGGTGAGTGGGGTGGGTGAGTGGGGCGGGTGGGTGGGGTTGGTGAGTGGGGTGGGTGGA